CATTGTACGCCTGTGGTTGCCTTGTAGAAAAGTTCACGACGTTTTTTTTCGGATCGTGCTCTTTGCCGTAAAAACTGTGGGCCCATGTTTGCACCTTCGCTACGGTGCGAGAGTGCTCGGGCGATCCCGTTAGCCACATCCAACGGATGAGTCACCACCTGGCCGTTGACATGTAACACAGGAAGTGGCACGGATGAAAACTGCCCGGAGATTCGTTTGATCCGAGCCCAAACCTGCGAAGTTGGTGTGAATCGGTTGAGCGTGCTTATGTACATACGCCAGGATTCACGTTTCGCTTCTTTTATCGTGCGGCGGGCGAAAGCCCTGGCTTTCTTAAAGGCTACTAAATTCTCCAAGCTACTTCTGGCGTCAAAAGCTCGGAAAGCACGTTTGCGTGCGCGAATTGCGTCACGACGCTTCTCCGTCCACCACGGCACAGGAGTGCGACGAGGAAATCCAGAGGTGCGCGGGATGTAATTGCTAGCGCAATCTAGAAGTCTGTGAGTAAAATCCTCAATAGAGGGTGCCACCCTCACACCTCCGGTCTGACATAATGCCACCAGTCGAGCCTCAAACTCACTCCAGTCAGCCTTTTTTGAATTCCAATGTCGTGGTCTTACACCCAACGTTCCTCTTATTTGGAATCGAAGCCACACTGGGAAGTGATCGCTGCCCATTGGATCATCTGCCACAGACCACTCGAGGCTCTCCACCAGCTCGGGACTAGAAAGACTCAGGTCAAGCGCGGAAGTCTGACCAGACGGCAGTGTAAAATGAGTACGAGTCCCTGTGTTTAAAATACACAGTGACGAGTCACAGATAAAATGTTCGCACATCCTTCCGCGGGTGTTCGTGCTATCACAGCCCCACGCGGTGTGATGAGCGTTGAAGTCGCCTAAAAGAAGACATGGTGAAGGCAACTCATGCACTAAACGTCTCATGTCTTCCAATGGAAAACCGACGCCAGGTGGAAGATATAAAGAACACACCGTGATGTGACGGTGATTAAAATGTAGGCGTGCGGCTACAGCCTGTAGCGTAGACCGCAGGTTAAACCTCCTGGCTGGCACGCTGTGGTGGACTGCAAGAAGGACACCGCCATGTGCGATACCGTCGGTTAACACATCATTGCGAAACAGGGCGTATCCCTTCAGCGTGCAGTGGTGACTAGAAGCAAGCTTGGTCTCCTGCAGCGCTACGGCTGCAGGACAGTGCTTGCTGACGACAGCCTGGAGGTCGAGGGCATTCGCCCTTATTCCTCTACAGTTCCACTGTAAAAAGGCCTGTAAAGGGGGCGTGTTAAAAAGCCGGTTGGAGGTCACATACTAAAACCGGACACGTCCTAAAAGAACTGGGCTGCGCCAGTTGCAGAAGCAGACTTTTCTGACTGAGAGCCACGGTTGGAATCTGCAGGGAGGTGCCCCACTCTGGGACGAGTTCTGGGGCTCCCGCCGTCAGATGGAGACGGGGGACCGGCCGGGGCACGCTTGACGCCAGCGTACCCGGTCCGGGGTGGCGGCGGGGGAGGGCCCATCGGCAGGCCTCTACCGGGCGTCTGGGGGTCAGCGGGGGCCTCCACTGGCCTTCTCGGCGATGGTGTGCCACTGCGAGGGGTGGGCTCCTTGCTTGCAACGGACAAGCGATTGGCCGTCTTAGCCCTCTCCAACTCCGCTAGGCGGGCCCGCTTAGCGTCGCGGGCGCGCCTGTCCGCCTCATGCCGTTCCATCGTTTCCGCTGCTCGTCCACACACACTCGCCAGCGTCGCCGGAGGCGACGAAGGCAGCGGAGTGACAGACGGCGAGGAAGGCCGAGCCCGCGGATCATGGCCGCGCTTGACCACCGTCCATCCCTCCTCCTCCCCCGCCTGCGACCCCGACGACACATGAAGGTCCGGCGGCGCAGCGTTGGTAGAGCAGGACGCAACTGAAGGACCAGGAGGATCCGACTGGGCGGGGGTCGCCCGCCCCGCCGGCACCACAGACAAACCGAAGGATCGCAGGAGCGTGATGAGTTGGACCACTGACATGTGACTGATGCTGGTGGACTGTGGTACAGAGGTTTTGGATTTTTCGGCATAAGACACCTTGGGGTGATTAGCCTCATACTGTTCACGCGCCTCGCGGAAAGAAATGTTTTTTGAAGTTTTGAGTGATATAATTTCCTTTCCTTCATGAAGGCTGGACAACTTCGATCGAAAATTGTGTGCGGTACCTGCCCCGTGCCACAGTTCACGCACCAGGGCTGCGCAGAGGTACACTGGTCTCCCGAATGCTCGGAAGATGCACACTTCCCACAGACAGCTCGATTGCGGCAGTGTGGTTTTGTATGACCAAAGCGCTGGCGTTGAAAACATCGCGTCGGATTCGGAACGAAGACCCTGACTTTGACAACTGCGTAGCCAATGCGGATATCAGACGGTAAATCAGGCCGGTTGAATGTCAGTATAATGTTGTTTGTAGGGATTTGGTCATCACCCCTCCTGGTCGTGATCCTACGTGCTGCCGTGACCCCGAAAATTCCCAACTCTTCGATTATTTCCTCCTCGCTGACGTCACGAAGGTCATAGCAACTTATGATGCCTTTTGATAAATTTTTGGTGTGGTGCGGTGTGACCGTGACTGGCACGCTCACGTCTCGCTTTGCACCCTCGGTTCTCGCGGCATATACAAATTCAGTTACAGTCAAAGCTCGAGTCGCATCGGTGCCGTTTGCGAACTCCACTTCGGTCGCGCCGTCCCTCAGCTTGTCACAGCGGGTGACTTTTCCCAACCTGTCGCATCCGTTTCGGCGCTGAAACGGTGAAAGCGATGCCAGGTTCTTCACATCACTCCGGAAGACAAGAACGCGTGGGGCAGGTGGAACCGACTCCTCGCTGCACCCTAAATTCATCGCAGTCCGTCCCCCTCTGGGGGGGCGGGAGTTTTTGGCTTTGTAGATGCCATGCAAGGTTGTTCTTTATTTCGGCACCGGGGCTCCCCACCCACCTCGGAGCCCAACTGGGGGACGGCCCACTCACCAGTTGGTGGTGGTGCCGCCAGGGCTACCTCGGTGCTATACGGGGCGGACGACGCCTCCCACACGGCCAGGTGTAACCGGGGAGACCCCTCCCCGTCCTGACCGTGGTTCAGCGCCGCCGCCCCTTGAACCCTTAAGCCGCTGCGCGCGGCCAGGCGCCCCAAGCGGAACCCGCAAGGAGCACCCAACCGCGACGCGAGCGACAAGCCGCTAGACCCGTGTGGGGCCCCACGGGCCCCCCGCGCCTCCGGATATCCTGGCCAAAGTGGAGTGTTGGGACGCGCCGTGACTGACCCGCACGACGCGTCCCTCAGCCACCAGGATCCGATCAACCCGGGGACGAGGGCGAGGGGGCACGGCGACCCCGATAAAACGAGGATCAGGAGTGATGAGTGGGCCGGATGCGGGAAAATGGGTAATGGGGAGGGAGCGAGCGGGACAAGAAGGGGCTCACGTACCGGCAGGGTCGCTACGCCCTGAGAGGAACAGCTTGCGCTGTCCACCCGTTACCGGAGTTGGGACCCGAGGGGGCGCTAGTCCCCTACACCGACCGAAGCCGGTGCCCCTGCGCGCCTGGCGGGGCGGAACCACCCATGCTGCTGGACATGAATATCGCATGACTGCTGGCTTAACGTGCGTCACAATTTTGTCATCATCGCGAGCACATCCCATACTTTTGATTTCACATGGTTGAGTTGCGCCGCGACGACTGGAAAGTGTCGCAGCCCATTCGGTCTGCGACAACGAATGTCTGGATGATACGGGTCTGCCATAGCATAAGCGCTTGCTGCTTTACCGGCGCCTTAGGCTAACGCTGGACTTTTCCCACAGTTGGGACGGCTCTTTTTATTGCTATTTGTATATATATATATATATATATATATATATATATATATATATATATGGGTATGTATGTATTTACATGCCTTGCAGGAGAACTTCGAGCAACATGGCTTTTCGGAGCCTCGATTAAAGTGAATAAAAACGATGAGTCAAAAGGTTAACACCCTCGAACGGCGCGATGCTCGCTCCCAGTCGTACGTGAGATCACATCAACGAAGTTCATTTTCGAAGTCCATTGTGCTCCTGCGGCCCAGCTCGAGGCTTGTTGAGATAACTGTTCAACAACGGACGACTCGGGCGCGGCGTGGCGTGCAAACGGCGCTCGCGAGTGACGTCGCTTCGCGGAACTTCCGTCGCCCGAGCGTGAGAGGGCGCCACCTGGCGGCCGGCTGGGACTCGTGACCTGACATGCACGGGCCCTGCTCCTCCGACGCCCAGCTCCAGCCGCCCGCAGCCGTGCCCGTGCCCGTGACGGGGCGTGGGAACGGACGAGTGGCGGGACGCGCGCCTCACGGGGGCGGACGTCTCGTGGCCGAACCAGACAGGGCGGGCGAGGCGGACGAATGTGAGCGGGACGCACGTGAACGAAGGACGCACGTGATGACGGAGGCCGTCCGGGTGCCGCCACGTGCGGGGTACCTCCTTGCTGAGTTGCATCGGGCGCTGCTGACGATCGGGGCTAGCAGTTAGTGTCACCACTCACAAGTCAAAATTCATGATCAGATGTGACAAATGGAGGAAAGCTTTGCGACTGGAGTTGAGCTTACCGGATGGGGTTGGGGGATGTAGTCCTGTATGGAACGCGTGGAGTTTTGGGCCGCAAACATCGCAGCGTTTTTTTTTGCGATTCCATCAGGAAAGCAAAGGTCAATACGTGCAAGTTCTCTCACGACGCCCATTCGTCCTAATACCCTCTTCTGAAACTACATGATCGGCATCCAACTGCGGTCAAACAACACTGCACAGCGTACCTAGGCAAGGCGCCGGAGTTCTGAGCTGGGAGGAAAGTCGACGCAGAATCATGGCAATGCACTGCATGCACTGTTGCAAGCTTCCCTAAACCTAACAATGACAGCGCGCCAGCCAAACTTTGTAAATAATCTTCCAATTTCCCATGTCCGAATGAATTGAATATGTCACATGTAAGTACATATTTCAACATTGCCTTTAAAAACGCCTCGGATCACAAAGATGCGACATTTTCACACCGAGCGACAGCGCCAGTGTCGGGCGTCCGTCGGCACGGACAGACGGCGTCACGTCACGCGCAACAGGTGACGACCGTCCAAGGTCGGGTGCTGCGTCACCAGCTGGCGGTACTGGGAGGCGGCCGCGTTCCGCTCGTCCCGATCGCCCAGTTCGTGCCAGGTGACTGCGCGCATGTGAAGCACGGTCTTCAGCAGCAGCCAGGCCTCCAGCTGGCCCAGCAGCCGCGCGGACTCATCCAGCAGCGGCAGCGCCACGCGCCGGCGAGGTGGCTGCTCGGCCAGCAGGCAGCGGGCGCGCAGCAGGTGCAGGCGCGCGCGCTCGTGCAGCGATCCGTGCGTCAGCAGTGGCAGCGCCAGCCGCTCGGCCAGCTGGGCGGCGCGGCGCACTAGCCCCAGCTGCAGCTGCACGGCCGCCAGGCGCAGCAGGGCCGAGCAGCGCGCGCCGCGCAGCCGCCGCCGCTCGCACTCGGCCAGCGCTGCCAGCAGTGGCTCAGCGGCGCCGGCGAAGTCAGCCGCCGCCGCCAGCAGTTCGCCGCGCAGCAATAGCAGCTGGACGCGCCGCTCGGGCGCCGGCGCCGGCTGCGTCGTCAGCAGGGCGTCCAGCAGCCGCTCGCACTCGGCCAGCTCGCCGCGCAGCAAGTGCAGCTGGGCGCGCCGCAGCCGGCCGGCGGCCGGGTCGAGCGCGCCCAGCGCGCTGGCCGCCTCCTCGGCCGGCTCGCAGCGGCCGGCCAGCAGCGCCCGGTCCGCCTCCAGCTCCAGCTGCTGGCGGCGCACAAGGCGTGCGTCCGCGCCACCCGCTGAGAACTGTTCGGCCGCCCAGGCCAGTACCTGGTCGGCGCGCGCGTAATGGCCGTGCGCGGCCAGTTGGCGCGCCAGCTGACCGGCGGCCAGCGCCACGGGCTCACCGCAGACTGGCGCACTGTGCGGCCCGGCGCCGGCCGTGTCCAGACACAGCAGCAGCTGGCCGCAGAGCGAGGCCAGACCGGGCCGGCCGTACAGGGCGCAGAGCGCCGCCCGCACCGCGTACCCGGACGCCAGCAGCGCCGGCAGCGAGTGCTGGCAGTTGATCTGGTCGGAGCGCGCCAGCTGCTGGAAGGCGTCGGCGGGCCGCGCGCCGCACTGCGCCATCAGCTCGGTGTAGTTCTGCACGCCGAGCGAGGCCAGCTCGTGCAGCTGCAGCTCGCCGCTCTTGGAGATGGCGTGCCGCATGAGGCTGCCGCGGGTCTCATCGTCGTCGGCCAGCTTGTACAGCCAGGTCAGCGCCTCCTGCAGGCACACGCTGTCGTTGCCGTCCTGCGACATGGTCACCGCCTCCCGGATGGCGGCTAGCGCGGCGCGCCGGTGTCCGAAGCGCGCGTGCAGCGCCGCCAGGCTGAGCGCGGCGTACCGCAGGCCACGCGACGGCTCACCGCCGGCGGCGGCGCCCATCCGGTCGAAGCTGTGGTAGAGGCTGTGCACGGCGCCACACAGCTCGCCCACGCGCAGACAGTTGAGGAAGCTGAGAAAGTGCGCCTCGGCCAGGTCGGGGTTGTCGCGCAGCAGACGGGCGGCCACTTCCTGCAGCGGTGCAGGCGGCAGCGCCAGCTTCTCGTTGGTCTGAAGCAGCTCCATCTGGGTGGAGACGAGCAGTTCGGCCTGGCGCCGTGACGGCCGCTGGCCGGCCCAGCTGCAGCTATCGGCGACACGTGGACACCGTCAGTGACAATGGCCCACTGCAGAGGCGGTCACCACCAACAGAGGCTCAACTGTGGCCACAGGACGTTATGTTATCCGCCAACGCAATATGCCTGGAAAACCGCAGAAGATGCATTAATTGACAGATATTATCGCAAAATCCACGTCATCCAGCAATGTAAACGGCCGTGATGCAACTGGGCGGAGGCATCTTTTCATTTAGGAGTTGCCATGTTCACAAACCCATTGCCATAAAATGGCTAGTCGTGCGTGTCAACTTAGTCAGCCGCGTATGATGACAGGAGGTGGAAGAGGGCGTCTGAGGCGCCGCTAACATATCTATGGCCGTTTGCATGCTGCATATTTTGCTTATTTCCTTGATTATGGATTAATTATTTTTATCCATTTTTCGCCGATTGCAAATGGGGTAACTAAAGTGGGGCGGAAAGCATGCGTTAACGTTTCGACATCTTCCTCAATATGACATTTTTCTAGGGCATTTCTCGCAAAGGGGCCAAAGTATCACTGAACATCTGGAACCCCTCAACACAATGTCTCATGCCAAGCATTGCAGGACATGCAAGCCATGTAATGTGTCCCATGTCTGGATTTCATCCTTGCGACCCATATTTATCGCTAAGATCGGTTTTATTGTGCAATTTGTCATATGCCTTCATTTTATCGCTTTAACTGTCGTCTATATAAAGTAAATGTGCGTGCAAAGTACATGGCCTTAATTGTAATCGCCTTGTCTGGAGTCACGCCATACTGGAGATGATGTTTGTGCGCGGACGCGGGACACCGCACCTGTCGTCCGGTGGCGGCCCATTGTCGTCATTACCGGCCACGTCTTCGGCCGGCTCCGGCCCCAGCTCCATGTCGTCCGGCTCGGCCGCCGCCCCCACCGGCGGGAAGTCGCCGGCCGCGTGGTAGGCCGCGAACTCGGCAAACACGCGCGTCACTTCATGAAAGGGCAGGCGTGCCAGCGCCAGGCTCATGCGGCGCACGAAGAAGCCCACCACGCTGCTGGGCGCCACGGCCGGCCGGCGCGCTCCCTGGTCGGCCGTCAGAAGGTCTACGCCGGCCATCAGCTCGGTGAGGCCCTCGACGCCGGCGCGGCGCAGCTCGTGCAGCCGCTGTAGGAAGGCGGCCAGCTGCGGCGCCGGCAGCCGACGCCGCAGCTGCCGCTGCAGCCGGACGCCGTCCAGCTCGGGCGCCTGCAGCAGCTGCAGCAGCAGCAGGCACACGTCCTTGCGCTGGCGCGGCGCGAGTGAGTCAGCAGCCAGCTGTCGGGCGTCGCAGTACTGCAGGATCAGCACCAGCAGCGCCAGCTTGTGCGGTGTGATGGCCTCGTGCTCGGGCCCCGCCGGTCGCGGCCCAGACTCCACCAGGGAGATTGGGTCGCATACTGATGCTGGCAGCATGGCTGCCTGTGCCAAGAAAGTCTTCTGTTATGCATGTAAATTAAACACAATAAAATACATCATCGACCAGCTAGAGTCTGGTGCATTCATTCACCAATAGGTTTAGCAGAAAGACAATCATAGTGCTTACAAGTCAGGCTGCATACTTATTGTATCCCCATATCAAGCAACCAGATATGCACAGCTTTTCATGGCCTGCCCCAACTACCCAGACATTATCTTTGTAACCAACTGCATGGTGGTTCCATGTAGTTTTTAAGAAGTGGAGCTATTAAGAAGTTATGCAGAAATATTTATAATGCATTCGCATGTCAGCATGGTTTAATATAAGGCATATTGAGAAGACTTCATTTGCAAGGAGCAAAATAACGTTTGCTACAATCTTGCATTCCTTACCCCAGATTTGCCAAATGCAAAACAGTTGCCTAATATGGGTTTCCACTGTGCATGCAACTATCCTATGTGTCACTGGGGCTTTTCGACACACTCAGCTGCTGAGGCGATATGGCGTTGCCTGCCTCTCACCCTGGCAGGAAGGGTGGGCATCGCGGGGAATCAAACCCTACCTCTGGTTTCCCCGACGCGCAGGGGTTAATGCAGACGCGTTAACCACTACACTACCGGCATCCCTACAACAACTATCCTATATTATCGATTGGTGCTAAACAACTGCGAACTCCAGGCAGACAGGACTCCCACCTGTTTAGGTCAACTCATAGTTTTCATAAGATTCAGGCACAAATTTGTGGGCAGAAATTGTTCTTTGACAGAAGTTCTTGCCTGCAGCCATCAATAACTGTCAGGGGTCTGCAGAGTATTCCATGACTATACCCTACCTGAAATACCTAGTTATATGTGACTGTGCTACCTTAAGCTCATGCCCATCTGACTAGTCATTTATGGTACATGATGGTTTCACAAACTGGAGGATCCCATAGCCATAATGTTGCATGATTGAACTTGCATTATTTCCAAGACCCCAATTATGCTTATAACATTTCCAAGCCTGCCAGAACAACAATTGTATTTGGTATGAAACAATGAAATACAGTCCCATATTATACTACTGATGAGAGGATACTCAGGATTAAAAATAATTGTGTGATTGAAGACCACATAGTATCCCAGAGCACCATGAGGCAAACAAGCTAACATGTCTCCTTCCCAACTTATGTAGCATTGAAAAGTGGAGGAGGATGTTAAATGTAACATATATATATATATATATATATATATATATATATATATATATATATATATATATATATACATATGTATGTATATATATACACACATATATACATATATATATATATATATATATATATATATATATGGGGGGGTGTTTGCCAGCATATATCATCAGTGAATTTCAATGAAGAGGTTAGACAGGGTGAGTCAGTACTAACCAAAATCGCCCCCCTCCACAATGAAGTCTCTTAATTTCAAAAATTATTTGTTGTAAATGCGGGCACTTCCCAAACATCGCCGCAGATCGAACATTACCACAACCATTTCCAGTCAAACTAACATAAGATCCCGAATGACTGACAAGAATCTTACCCAGTTCAGAAATTCGCCGACGCTGGCCAATAATCAAATGTCTTAATGTTGCACTAGGCTACCTCGAACTCCACGCCTCCCAAATCCCCATCCACCTTACACTCCCAGGGCCTTGCATACACTCGGCCCACGCACTTCAGTCCCCCGCTCAGTCTTCAAAGTGTGATATGGAAGCATGTCCAGAAATGGTAAATGGCAAACGGCAGCAGCATAATTTTGCGCTCGCGCGGAAATGGAAACCTTTACCTCACATCTCTATAATATAATGCTGAAATCCATTGTTTATCTTATGTCAGTTATTGTTTTTGTAAGCAGAATTGAGATCTTAGGAAGGTAATGTAGGTAGACCATAATCATATTTGTAACAATAAAGCCGAAAGAATGTGTCAACATGTTACGAAGTGCGGCTTCAAGCCAGCTGCCTGCCATCGGCAGAAAAATAATGCTGTGTTGGAGCCATCCAGCCAGAGATATTCAGTACAGTTGGGGGACCCAGCACATAAACTTGAGGAGAAAGCGAGACAACTGCGAGGAGAAATCCGTCTTTTATGCATTTTCTGGAGAGATTTAGCCATTGTTTTGCCGCACCCCTCGCCCAACTCATTTTGCGGCACTCCTGGATTCAACAATAGCAGGGGCGTAGTTTCCTTTTCAGTTGGGTGGCTCCCAGCTCCCCGACCCGGGCTTTAGCCCCCCCCCCCTCCCCCAATCTTCAACTTGGAAAACAAAGTGTCACATTTGGTAGTAAGGGCCACCACTCGCCCGTCACTGAGACTGGACATCGCACAGCAGTGCAAGCGAGCATTTCGCGTAAACGCTGGGGGGGGGGCGGGAACCTAGTCGTCAGGTGTACTTTCCTCAAATCCGCATATGGCGCCATGACAGTCAGCAACCATTCGGTGATGGCGCCAGCATCAGCCCGGATGGCGGTGGTGTGGTGCCGCGCTGTGCAAAGTCAAACTGTGCCATTTTTTGTTTGGTTTTGTTTTTGTTTTGTTCATCACGGTGAAGCATCTGTCAACTCACTTGAGTCGGAACGTCGACCGACAATGTGCGTTCACGTCACATGCGCATTGCCAACAGACTGCTTCGTACTCGATCACTGCGTCGTAACAACGAACGACTGTGCTGCATATTTTTACCATTCATCTCCCCCTGGACAGTGCTTTAGCCAGAGATAAACGGCGTTGTGTGGCATCATGCTGTTCATATATTAATATGTACAGAGACAGCGGCCCAATACATGATTTCAGAACGTCACACAATCACCTGTCATTCGTCGAGTGGCTTACCATTCCTTAAAACCCTAGGTGGCCATTGGCAAGGGTTGAGGCCTTCGAAGTTCCAATGCATTGGGCATGAAGAGCATGCAGGCATCCACACCTTACTTGCACCACAGCAGTGCTCTAGCACCGCGTCACGGAGCGTCCAAACACCCGTCTGTTCATCTCATACTGGGACCGAGCACTTCTCCGCATTTCACGCATTGCTCTAATGGTGTGGGCCGCGCATCGCGGCAGCTTCCGATGTAACCCGCTGGGCGGCGCCACTGGCGGCTCAATGCAGCTTATCCTTGGCGGCGTCGGGGCCCCCGTACTGCTGTTCCCACCACTTGACGTACTCCTTCTTGCGCTCCTCGCGGCGCGCGAAGTACTCGGGGTACATGGCCTTCTCGAGCGGGTGCCAGCCGTCCAGCACCCAGTCGGGGGGTACCACCTCGCGCTCGTGCGCCACGCCGCCCGGCGAGTCGGGAACTGGCGGAGACGACGGCACACACGTCAGCGCCGCTCCACAACACACTGCATCAACGAGGGCTACAGCAAAGATAAGGCCATCGGTAAAATCTCGACAACACACTGCAGCAACGGCGGCACATTAAAGATGGCGTTCAACGTACATTCACGACAGCTCACTGCCCCAGCGGGGGCCACTTAAAAGACGGCACCATCGGTACATTCTACCATTTTGCTTTCCCAACAACAGCAATTATGTGTTCCGGCGTGTTCTGAATGCAGTCTAACACGGAAATTGTGATCGCCTGTGGGGGCGGGTTTCAATATCTCAACTCGAAGAAGCTTGCTATGCTGGTGAGAATATGCGCAGACCAAGCACCACATTGGCAGGTTTCAAAATGGTGGTAGTAGGCAAAAAATGTAATTTAAAATGCGTAAATTTATTTCATAACTTTAGTCCTTGTTCTCCATTCTCGCTCCCGGAAGTATGACGATGCAATTTAAGCATGCGGGTAGGAGACGCAAAATACATGGAGGCAGATCTCTGCCAAGCCCTTGTATATCCCCTCCCACATATGGTTGCTGTCAGCAGAGAAGCCTTTCAAAGCTGAAGGAGTAACCCATCTGATCGGAGATTTGTTGGTAAACATTGTTCTCTAGGCACAAACTCCTGGTGCACATCGGAGCGCAGCCACAACTTCGCACCAGTGTGTGCCAATCAAACTCCTGATGCACATCGGAGCGCAGCCACAACTTTGCACCAGCGTGTGCCAATCAAACTCCTGGTGCACATCGGAGCGTAGCCATAACTTCGCACCAGTGCGTGCCAATCAAACTCCTGATGCACATCGGAGCGCAGCCACAACTTCGCACCAGTGCGTGTCAATCAGGAAACCGTTTGCTCTTGTCATAAGCAGACCCTTTCAGGAATGCATTTTGCTACAGCCCTGGGACGGGACGGCAAAACCCAACAACACCAGAGGCTTCGTGCTGATCCCCAGCACCTTCATATATGGAGATTATCACATTCATAGTTTTTTTGCTTTGATCCTGGTTTTGGACTAGTTTGGCCAAATGGTGCCTGCTCTGCTCTTCACGTGCATTTACAAAACTACGCTTCTGACATCACAGATCTGGAACCCTCTACCTAGGACAGCTGCAAATATTTTGGCACTGTTCAGGTCAGTTTATGATTTATACACCAAACAGGGGCTATATGACCATGGAAAGGCATCCACCACAATCTGAGCTCAGATTTAATTATTTGTATGCACCTGACAGGCCCTCCACCCGAAGAGCCCTCCCGAAACCCGGAGGTGGGCGACCATTATCACGGAGGACGTACATTGTTTGGGTTGGTAGTGCTGGTTGCTCCACAGCTGATACTCGGCATCCTCCAGCAGCTTCTTCACCTTCACCATGTCCTTCTCTTTGGCATGCTTATCGAACTCGGCCCGCAGCAGCACGGCGTTGTATCGGAAGTGGTGTCTGAAAACGATAATGCGATAATGCCGTCTCTCGTGATGAGATGCTTCTCTACAGTGCCGCCGTCGTACACGATTCTGCTCAGACCGCTAATGGCAAGCAAGCTTCGTCTGGGGTCCGTTTTGTCGGGATGGACCGGAGGGGCGCGGCATGAGTGTAGCACCGAGCGGCGCTGGGACGGACCGGAGGGGCGTGGCATGACTGTAGCACCGAGCGGCGCAGGGATGGACCGGAGGGGCGTGGCATGAGTGTAGCACCGAACGGCGTACGGACGGACCGGGGGGGGGGGGGGGGGGGGGGCGTGGCATGAGTGTAGCACCGAGCGGCGCAGGAAAGAACCGAAGGGGCGTGGCATGAGTGCAGCACCGAAGGGCGCTGACTGGTGACCATTCGAGACGGGGTTTCGGAGGTAGGCTTATGATCGTCCGATCGCCGTCCACGCCTTACGGCTACAGACGCCGACGGCGGCATGGTATATGCAAGGGGAGTCGAATGGGGAGTACCACTCAGCGGAGGCCTCCTTGAACTAACGAGGAACCGGAAGTCAACAGGGGAAGGTTCAAACGCGACGGCGAAGACACGACGGATTTTCAGCGGGCGTATTTTGCGAGCGAACGAACAGGCCGACATGGCCGGCCGGAGATGATGGCTCAGCCAGCCAGGTCATGCTGGGGTCTGATGTCTATTCGGCAAAATACGTGAACAGCGCTCAACATCAAGCGCACGGCGCATTAGATGACACTGGGCCCCACAGGGCAAGGGGTCTTTTATTTCTGACAGTTAATGTGAAAAACATCGATGTTTTGGGAAGGAAGATAAAATATGCTAACAAACCTGTGGTGAAGGTACATCTCTAGAAGACGGAGCGCACGCTTGTAGACGCTCTTCACCTTTTGCTGGTGAGTCAACGCGCTGATCTGGAGGAAAGACATGGCTGCTGAAACGAAGAAGGCCAGTGTCAGACATGTAGTCACTGGCTCCTGACATCCACGTGACAACTGGCGCTGTGAGGGCTCGAACTCTTGGACACCAGCAGATGACCATGCATGACAATCAGTTGGCGAAATCCCACAGCCTGGGTGGGAGAGTTGGCTGATACGCCGGACACGTGCGTGGGGTTCTTTGGTTCAAGCCTGATGGGGGGGCCTTTTACTCAGCCAGCGTCACCCCAGGAGACGACATCAGCCAGGAAGTGGTCGCAACGCCGCGGAATTAATGCTGTACCACTCGCACTCGCGCCCGGTTCCGCTCCAGCAGCGTTGATTCCAACTCCAACTCACGCTGCAGCTTCAGGCTGATTCAGACGCTGACTTTGAGCAGCAATCACAATTGTGAGTTGATTCCGATTTTCCAGGGGACATGGCTTGAGTCCAGAATGTGTGCGAGTGGAACCGGTTTCAGTGTCAACGGCTTAGGAACTAGCTGTACGTGCTATGCAAAACCTGCAAAGGACGCACCATCATGTGCAACACAGCAATACTTCTGAAGTCTTTCAGATTAACCTTTTGAGTGGATTCTGGAATCAGAGCCAATGCTAAGCGGTGCTTGTTATGCATGTCCCCAACCCACCATCCGATCGTGAGGGCTCAGGCTAACGGCCGTGTTCATTAGATTCGGCCGTATTCTTGCTTGCATGGGGGAATCTCATCAAAAACGCATAGTTTGTGAACTAAATCATTAAGCCCAGGCATGGGAACAAGGCCAGGGTTTCGAACCCGAACACGAAGTTAAGATAATGGGATTAACTGAAACTGAAACCGGTGGCATCGACGTTTGGAACTGTAAAGTCAATATCAAAGTATGTAGTGTTGTAGTTGTGTACTTTAAAAAGTGATACTGAGTCCCAAGCCGGTGGCTTGGAACTTTGCATATGCAAGGCTGCAGCCCAAGCCGGCAGATTCGAAGCAAAGAAAGGTGGAGCCAAAGTCGAGCACATCAGTTTAAAATTACGAAGGCTGACGCGGTTGCTGATTCTAACCTACATTGTTTTGGAAAACCAAAACCGTCTTCACGTCTACTAAAACTTACAGGAATGGAAGGCATTACCTGGGATTCACAAAGTGATGGAAATTAGATGTTAGCATTAAGGAAGGAAGATATTATTGGATTGCCAATCTCATCTTGCGTTAGTATGTCCGCCAGCTTTTGGGCATCTAGTTCTAAGGTGGCTGCCAGGTGCTCACTGGTCCTGAGGTTGATTGACTGGTTTAGTGACATATTTGGTGCAGTCTCAACATGTAGTGTTAAGTTGGGTTGATAGTGACATAATGTGAAATACTTTTTGTGAAGCCAAGACACAACTACAGAAAGGAATCACCACAACAAAGCTGAAGCCAGCAGTTCAAGATCACTGCAGGCTAAAGCTAGGGCCATGTTTGAAGCTGAAACTGAAGCAATTATTACAAATGACACAAAGATAAGGGCAGAATTGAAGCCAACCATTTAAATGGCAAAAAGCCTAAGCCAGCCATGGTGAATGACTTCAAGCTAAAGCTGGGCCCAAGGTCATTGGAAAAATTGTAACTTCTGGCAGACAATTCCAAAACCAGAGCTACCTACATCCTCATGTCTGATTAAGATCAATGCCTCCTTTATCTTTATGTATATCTGCATATGAGTGGTGACACACCAGATATTGATATAATTTGACACAAATCTGTGCCAACATCTTCAGAACAGCAGGTCTGTAGCACCAAATGGCTGGGAGCATGGAGGTTTATCATGAGACATGAAACATTGGGGGCAAGCAAGAGCTTGCTAGCCATCATTAGTGACAGGATGCTATCAGGTGAAATTAGTGGAAGAAAGGGTGCTAGGCCTGCATTTTCACAACAAAAGGAACATAGAAAAAATTATTCACAGAGCATGTTTTGGTTAACTGAATTATGATCAATGTTCAAAATGGCAATGAGCCTGTTTAACCAGTTGCTTATTTTTAAAAGTAAGATACTGATCTCCTGTTATCTTCAGAAACAAATTTGTTCCTGTAAGAGAGCCAAATTTTGGCATGAAAGGGACCCTTTCAGCCCAGGGACCCCACATCACCATGGGAGTTTTTGGTTCCAGATGATGCTTTTTGGCTCCAGACACAAATTTTATGCCCTGATGGCCTGTTTCATGTATTGAAGAAACTCTACACACATGACATGCAATAAAAAGGCTGTGCAGCCTTTAACCCCAGAGGACCCATAAGGACCTCCAGGGTGGGGACATGACCCAAAGCCCTTTCCACCTGGCTTAAACACTTTTTCACTCTCTACAACATATGGTAACTGTTCACTTAAGATTCCATACCAGATGTCTGAATAACAAGCTTAAAACATGATATAACTTTTACATATAAGCTACAACTTTTGTCAGCTATTTCTCACAGTTGTCCTAGTAGGCTGGGTCAAATCAGATTGCTCTATAGATTATGGTAGCTGGATTTCTTTCCAACATAGACATCTTTAATATATAGCATGGCTTTTGATAAGGTAGTAGGACAATACTGATATAAAACAAATCATACTACCAGCTACTTGTGACATAATCAGCAGCTAGTTATCTGATCAGTTCAGGGCATCCCAAGGGGTTGACCATGGTTGACTAGGCCATGTTAGTCATGCTGTCATGTTCGTAAGCCATTAAGAATGCCACTTATTTTGTTACATTCATAAGCCAACATAAATACGATAATATGACTAACAGATGGCACAGCTCTGAAGGCCAGTAAGGCCCAGTTCATGCCAAAGTAAGTGGAAGCCACCTCATAATTAACTTGTCAATATTGGAAGCATATTGTTAGACCTCATGACAGGTCCACCTGGCAGTCTGAAAAATTATGATGCACTAGACAATCATACATAAGGTGCTGTACATCTATTGTATCCAACATATTCATGCCTACTTTAATTCCCAATCAACATTGTGTGACCAATGTTTGTTCACAATTTTCTGACTGAAAATACAATTGCATCATAATGCATTGATACCTTGTACCATGTAGTATTCATTTTAAAAGGCTTCTTGAGCTTACCATATCCAGTCTCATCAACCATAACCCATTCTAGCATGACATCTGTTTTGTTCTACCATTTGGTATCTAGCCTGTTTTTGATTTCCTTAGAACTTAGGGGGATTCCTCCTTGTCAATCTTCCGATTGCCACGGTGAAAGTGAAATAATGGCTCCCTATTCACTGAAATTGTGAGCAATCATGTAACAAACTCTGGGTGCTCAGATTTACAGCAACATGCAAAAATACTACTGCTGCAACATCCCTGCAGCTCCATATATTACACTGACAGAAATTGTAGCATGCATCTTTTGAAGTCCAGACTTCATTCCAGTCCAACACACAGCTTTGACCACACAGGACTGCACAGACCCTAAGGCTTGGAAGCTTGGCTGCATGCATTGGTTTACCTAAACTGAAGAACAGAGTTGGTTAGCACAACGCTCCCACAACACACAGGACTTGACCAAGTCCAGACACCACTTTTTTACGCACCTCTGCAAATTTAGGGTTTGTGGATACGACAAAACAAACCTTATGATTTGGTCTTATTTGATTTCAAGGCAAATCAGCTCCCAAAGCCGTCATATACATGCCACAGGAAGAAGAAAAAGAAACATATATTGTCCTAAGTGCGCTAGAACTGCCCCATAATATTCTAGCCTTAGAAAAATCTGGTAGAATTCATGGTAGTTGGTTTGGCTAAGTTGGGATATCTTTGGTAGTTCGTGTATCAAAACTACTGTTCATTCACAGTGTGTTTATAACACGTTAAATTTTATCAAAATAGAAAGTGAAAGAGATCTTTTAGTTTTTAAAATGAGGACTGTTCAAGCGGCATAAATAAGCAAAAGTGCTATCGCAGTTTTGCCCAAATTTTTGGTATGCAAAAAGGTATTTGCAAACAATTTAAGAATGCTGAATACCATCGGATCCACGCGTCAATCGCGCGTGTAGTGGCAGGGTTTCTACGCACGGTTTAAATCCTTTTGGATAATTGAGGAACCCGCTAGGAATGGCTTGGTTTGTCGTGACGGCGCATTATTTCTAATGCGCCTTTCGGAGGCCAAATTTTGCATGATTAAACTGGATGATGGAGCTTTACATTCTCATAATTTGAAGGCAGCTCGTAGCTGTTTGCAGTAGGGAAGCTTTTGTAAGGTTTTGGATATTCCCATGGGTTTTGTTCCCATGAAAACTTTCACATGCCAGACAGATGTATTTGAACAATAGTTCACCAAATCTTTCAAGTTGATGCCACTTGTCTTGGTCAGGGGAATCGCGTGTACATGCATGCCCATAGGCCTAAGGGCAATGTAAAAAGCTGGAGTAGTGATGGGGCCCAGGCCTTGCCTCACAACTGTGTGGGAAGTCATGCTGCTGAAAGTCTTGTGTTCTCTTTGCTGTTAAGCATAAGAAAAGCTAATTCAAAGGTATATTGTGTGTATGCTGTTAAACTTTAAACATTAATGCCTGGTGTCCCAGGTTCACAGAACTATACAGTGACACCACATGTTGCCAGTGGGGCAAGAGGGGCATAGGCTGTAGATGACATGAAGATCACCAACTTGTTAGTGATCAGCTTGTAAACTTTGTTAGTGGTTGCTGAGTTACTGGGCTTTGGTGGATATAAGTTACAAAACTGGGGAGAGTAAAACTGATTAGAAGCTGTAAGCTTTTGATAGCAAGGTATAAATACATTACAAAACTAAGCAGGCATATGGGGGGGTGATTGTCTTGGAACATATTAATAAGCATGATTAACTATAACTAGGCAGAATTATAATCAAGCAATAAATCATTCAATGTAAAAGAACAACTAGACCTTGAACATCACTACAACTTCATGGATTCTGTGTTCCCTACCTGTTTTGATGCTGAGAACTAAGGCATGTTGTAGTTAAAACACTGGGCTTTAATTGTTTTTATAGCAGTTTGCTCTTTATGTGCTTGAATATTTCATGAAAATTTTAGGTTTGACATGTGCCATGTTGAAGATGGATGCCAGGCCTGCACTGTACTTATGCAGAGTGATATTAGCAAGCACTGTGTGTGTAGTCAGGCTAGGGCCCAAGTGTGTGAGCATAGCTCTCTCTTTTGTTCTTCACCAAATGGACTTGAAATACTTTAGAAACTGGACCATCTTCTAATTGTAGGAACTAGTTACTAGCAGATGTTTGGCTATTCATTGACACTCCATTTCCAGCCAGGCTACTTTTTAATCATTGCAAGGCATTTACTGGGACTTATCCAAGTTAAACCAATATATTCATGCACAAGGCCCATGGTCAATTTGTAACCTACCTGAAAGGCATATAATGCCTGATATCATTATTGAATCAATTTGATTGAAAAATGGTTGTCTGTGTGTTCAAATGAAAAAATGTTCCTAGTGACATTCTTTGGTAAAACCAGGCACCATTAGCTTGCACTTTCACAAACTTAACAGTTGTTGCTATTGGCTTTCAATATAGCTGACACATACCTATTGTACAGATACTCATGAGTGCACATGCATCAAGCCACTGTGCAGCCACTGTACAGAAGGCAGCAATTTATGTCTTATCAACAGTTTTATCATGATGGATGTCTCATGTCCAAGTAGTTAAACAGATTACCAGGCATGCACATTTACAGATTTCACATTTCTCCCCAGTAATGGCTTTTTCAAGGTGGCGGGCAGTGGTGCTGTCTGTGGTATCGGGCCTGGCAGTGGTCTTGTTGACGGCTGTCGCCGGCCAGCTGTACCTGCGGCGGCGGCGCCGGAGCCCGCCCCGCCTGCTGCGGCACCCCGCCACCAGGCACCGGCTGCGGCTTATCGAGCGGCGAGAGCTGAGTCCGGACACGCGCTGCCTCCGATTCGCACTGCCAACGGCCGAGCACGTGCTGGGCCTGCAGGTGGGCCAGCACGTGTACCTGTCGGCGCGCGTCGGCGACGAGCTGGTGGTGCGGCCGTACACGCCCGTCTCGAGCGAAGACGACCGCGGCTTCGTCGAGCTCGTGGTCAAGGTGTACTTCGGCGGCCGGCGGCCGGAGTTCCCGGCCGGCGGCAGGATGTCGCAGCATCTGGAGCGTCTGGCGCTGGGCGACACGGTGGACGTGCAGGGCCCTGCTGGCCTGCTCACGTACGCGGCGCCCGGTCAGTTCCACATCCGGCCCGATCGGCGCTCGCCGGCCGTCACCGTGCGGGCCTCGCGGCTCGGGTTGATCGCCGGTGGTACGGGCATCACGCCCATGCTGCAGCTGATCCGCCGTGTGCTCGGGGACCCGGCGGACGCCAGCCGCGTCTGGCTGCTGTTCGCCAACCAGACGGAGGCGGACATCCTGCTGCGTGACGAGCTGGACCGGCTGGCGGCGGCGCGGCCGGATCGGCTGCGCGTCTGGTACACGCTGGACCGGCCGCCCGCCGGCTGGCGCTACAGCAGCGGCTTCGTGACGGCCGAGATGCTGGCCGCGCACCTGCCGCCGCCCGGCGACGAGACGCTCGTGCTCATGTGCGGCCCGCCAGCCATGATCAGCCTTGCCTGTAAGCCCAGCCTGGACAAGCTGGGCTACCCGGCTTGCGCTCGGTTCGCCTACTGAAGCGAGGCTGACCTGCGGGTGGCGACGCTGCGCGGGCCACCGAGCCCTTACCGACCGCCGGCCGCGGCCACCCGGTGTTCGGCGTCGGATGAGGATGAGCTGCAGCCAGTGGACGGCCCAGTAGACGCCGGTTTGCCTGGCTCGGAGCTCGTTGGCTGTTCTTCTGTGATGTGCAGACGCGCTGTGATCGACTTGCGAAGTCTTGTTGCTAGAATCCCGGAATCAGGAAATAGTTCTTGACATGCCGGGATGTCTGAATCATTTTTTGCCGTTTTGTTATCGCATTTTTGCCCTTGGATGCAGCCATTTCGTGACTTCGCGGCCTCGTTTTCTCTCGGCCTACAGGGCTAGCCGCAGCGGAATGAGATCAACGCTCTCTGGTGGTGCTAAATGATCCTCACTTGCGCCATGTGCGTCACTTCATTTGCTGTACTGTGCTGAACGCAAGCAGCCATAGTTTTTGGTTTTGTTTTTGCCCTAGGGTAGAACTAAGGATCACTTGACCATTTGCGCCACCAGATGTCACTCGAGTCCTCCAAGCGCCGTCCTTAAACTAGTGGTTCTGGCTCACGGACACGTTTAAATGTGGACATCAGGTAGACCATGCTCGGCATCATTGGACGGCACCATGACAGTCGGCATGGGCGCGGGTGGACATGTGAATGTTATTGGCAGATGATGTAATGAATCTGGGTCTTCAGAATGCAAGCAGGTGCTCAGCGGCATTCAAACAAGTTGAGATTAAGTATAAGAACTATAAAAGTTGAAAGAAGTATAAGAGCTCTCTTAGAATGACCGAATGCTTGGAACGGGCAACTGAATCTGTCTTGCCATGAGTTGTATGAATACATGAAAATGACAAACTGGTGCGCCTAATTCCGTTGCCATGGCAACAGGATGAAACCAAGGAATGTCAATGATGAAGGAAGGGAAACCAATGAATGAACGAGCGATGGCGTTAGTTTGTCAGTGACTAAGAGCGCACAAAACCGGCCGTTTTTGCGGCGTGATGTAACTCGAGTTAATTTGATTTAAGACTCGTGTATAACATTGAACTAAGGACCGTTTGCGAACGATGTAAAACCTGAGTGACATTAGGTTTTATGTTGTCCCGCATAGATACGTTATTATTTCCTTACTGTACATATCCTTTAACAATACAATGCCAAGCAAGAGGAACTTGGTACCGCATGAGCTGCGGCCTGCAAACACGGCTCAAAGCACGATTGAGCACAACCGCCTGTCACAAGAGCTGAAGAAATTGGAGCGCGACAAGAACATCAGCATGAGCCAGCTGGAAGCCAGTCAGACTAAGCTACAGAAAAGCCTGCGAGCTGTGGTGTCCAGCGGCCAGCAGGCTTCGCAGGAGGGCGGGACCACTCCGACGGCTCCCAGCCCGACCGGTTCTAGTCTGCTCAACAGCAACACGGGCGCGCCGTCACGAAACCGTGTGTCCGAGAGCCATAATGCAGCGCCCAGTAGCCGCGCAAGCGTCCACAGCACCGACCCAGACATGCTGGCCACGGTCTCCACCAAATCCTTCCACGGCCAGATCATCGGCGGCCAGGCGCAGCGACAGCGCAAGCTGAACTCGCGAGTCAGTGTCATGTCGCAGAGCTCGCTGGTAGCATCGACGGCGACCCAACTGACCACGGCCTCCCAGAGGCGCGTTATGGACGGCTCCATATACAACGTGCCCGAAACGGGCAAGGTGACCGGTGTGGAGTTCACAGAGGAGGAGGTGGAACATGGGGTGAAGGACCATCAACGGAAGGCCAGCGCTGAGGTCGCCGCCGTAGCGCTGGTGCCAGTGCCGGAAGACGCAGCGGAGACGGCTCAGGCAGCAGGGACGGCCCCAGGGACGGAGGGTGCTGGGGAGAGTGCTCCGCCTCAAAAAGGTGCAGAAGAGACGACTCCTGAGGCGGAAAGTGCAACGGAAGCGATTCAAGGACCGGAGGGTACAGCGGAGGCGCCTCTGGGGCCGGAGGGTACAGCGGAGGCGGCTCCGGGACCGGAGGGTACAGCAGAGGCGGCTCCAGGACCGGAGGGTACGGCGGAGGCGCCTCTGGGGCCGGAGGGTACAGCAGAGGCGGCTCCGGGGCCGGAGGGTACCGCGAAGGCAGCTCCAGGACCGGAGGGTACAGCGGAGGTAGCTCCGGGACCGGAGGGTGCGTCGGAGGCGGCTCCGGGACCGGAGGGTGCAGCGAAGGCGGCTCCGGAACCGGAGGGTACGGCGGAGGAGGCTCCGGGACCAGAGGGTACCGCGGAGGCAGCTCCAGGACCGGAGGGTGCAGCGAAGGCGGCTCCGGAACCGGAGGGTACGGCGGAGGCAGCTCCTGGACTAGACGGTACAGCGGAGACAGCTCCGGGGCCGGTGGGCACAGCGGAGGCGGCCCCGGGGCCGGAGGGTACGGCGGAGGCAGCTCCCAGACCGGAGGGTACGGCGGAGGCAGCTCCGGGACTAGAGGGTACAGCGGAGACAGCTCCGGGGCCGGAGGGCACAGCGGAGGTGGCTCCGGGGCCGGAGGGTACAGCGGAAGCACCTCCGGGATCAGAGGGTACAGCGGAGGCGGCCCCAGAGCTCATGGGCACGGTGAACACGGCTGCAGGGCCGGAGGGTGCAGAGGTCTCGCCAGCGTCCGCCGTCGATCAAACTGGAGTGACTGTTCCAGAGACACTCGCTGAGGGACAGCAGGTGGCTGAGGCAGCAGCGCCGGTCGCAGATGGGGAAACAGGGCAGCCCGATGTTCCTGGCAGTGCTGGGCAGCCGGGTGCGGATGGGGCAGCGCCAACGGCGGAGGGTGGTGCCGGCCAATCGCCAGCGCCCTCCAGCGACCAGCCGAGGTCAGACGGAGGCGCCGGGCCGGCGGACAGAGCCGGCGAGATCCAGCTGATGGTGCCGACGGTTCCAGCGGTCGATAGCGCTGCCGACCAGGCCCCGCAGGAAGACCCGGCCGTGCTGGCGCAGCGCCCCAGCCAGACCTCCGGAGAAGCGGCGGCCCAGAGCGGCGGAACTGCTGTCGGGCCACGCTGGTCGGCTGCGTCGCGGGGTTCCCAGATCCCCCCCGTGCCGCCGGCCGTGGCTGCCGGAGAGGTGACGGCGGGTGACGCCTCCCCACCGGCGTCGCCACCTGTGCTGCCCGACACCATCTCTGAGCAGGTGTACACACGGGCTGTGGAGCGCGCCTTCGCAGCCAAGTGTCTCAAGCACTCGAAGTTTGTCACCGATTTGGAAATGCGTCAGTTCGTATTGCAGTTCTTGTTGGCTGAACAGCAAGAGGAGAATTTTCAGCGGGCGAACGAGTTTGTTAAACAGCTTCTTCATAATCAGGTTGAGCTGGGCTAAGTGGTTTGCCTTATGCTTCCGCCTCGTTCAAAATATATCATGGCCATTGGAAATCTTCTGATTAGAGCTACGCAGGTCAACTGAACCCCGTGTTAGCATGGTGTGCATGTATGAAACATTGACTACCAGCGGAGCGCGGTAACCAGGAGTCGGTCTTGGATGAAGGAACGAGTGCGACATGGGTGGTGCGGATGCGTTTGTTTTTTGCAGCCGAATTTCTAGGGGCGATGACCGGTATGTTAATGAAGGGGGAGAGAAATGGTGTCCGTTATCCAGGGAAGTACCCCGATCTCCCCTAGCTGCCTCATTTTAAGCCGATAGGCCAAAACTAAGTCTGCGAAATATTGAGTCGTTGAGTGCGTCAGCTGCGTGGCTAGAGTTCCAAGCTTCCGTACCAGATGCCCGCGAATGCTCAGCGTCGACGTCCAATGAATAGCAGTTCGGACGTAAGTAAATATGGAGGTCTGTGGCTGGGGTCTGTAGCATGATGCAAATGTTCTCTTGAAGCGAAAGGGATTTTTGACTTCGGGCTTCTGTGCTATACTCTCACGCGGCTTGTCGCCGGATTTGGTCTACAAAGTTGCAGCTCATCCTAGGCCTGATTCTCCACAAGTTCAGCGTTGAGACATTAGACTGTCGTTCAAGGTCTTTGGTTTCGGCTTGAGATTTGTGTGCAGAGAGAGCACAGCATTAATACTGTCCTACATGTGTTACAAGGGTATTGCAATTGGTAGCAAAATGTAAACAGAGGCAAATAGCGTACGGGGCCAGATAAAAACATAAACTTAGGTAAACCTGCTCCTTTCCGCATTTTCCTAGATCTCAGAGGGCTCCCGGGTGTGGTAAGTTTTTCTTTAGGATTGGGACGCGAACCATTTTTATAACCATCTCCAATCCACAGGGTGACGCGCATGGTCACAGCGATGTAACCCTATGACCAGTATCTTAGTTCCCGCTTGCCCTAGCCTCAGCGAAGCTTTAAGCTATTTAATTTAGCTGTCAACATCGTTTACGAGTTGGTAGTTTCTCTAGAGCTCGTAGTAGGTAGTAGAAAATCTGGTAACAAAATTTCTGGTGACGACAATGACGCGGAGTGCGGCGATGGCGCAGCGGATGTACTTACATGACCAACGCCCTTGTGGGAGTCGCGGAAGCCGCCCGGTCTCGCCGGGGGGTGGAGCTGTGCATTGGGCTAAAATTGGGATATTCGCGAAATCCTGTGTTTGATGTAAAAAGCGCTGTGCGTGCGGATGTCCGTGGTGCTTGTGGTGTATTTGGCTGACTTTGATCTGCCACAGCAAGCCCATCAGAATCGAAATCTGTTCGGGACTTTGCGAATTCATCGATCGATAAGCTGGCTTTGTGGCGTGATTGACAGGAGTGCTGCTTAGGACAGGAAACGCAAATAATTGAAACAAGGTGCAAGAATTAAGCATGGCGGATGAGAAAGAGGCCAACACTGGACCTGCTGAGGACAGTATTAAAGTGATATGTCGTTTTCGTCCTCTAAATACCTCTGAAGAAAAGGCAGGGTCAAAATTTATAGTCAAATTTCCACAGCAAGGTGGCGTCGAGGACAATGCTTGTTCAATTGGGGTAAGTGCTGATATTTGTTATGGCAGGAAGTAGCTGTTAACCTAGTTAGCTTGATATGGCAGGAACTAACTGTTAGTCATTTTTTCTCAGAATTAGTTTAGCAGATCCCTTTAATAGGGCATGCAATATGCATTTTGTGTCCAGAAGGTGCATTATTGCATTTCATGTCAAATTTAGCTTATACTAAAGGATGGGTTTACATCTGTCAAACCTTTGTAGTTGTGTATGCATCCATTTCTAAAATCTGATTTACTGCTGCAGAGCATTTAATCACCAGCATTTGATTACATGTGAATGTCAATGTTTGCTTTGCAGTTGGGAGTAGATGACATGCACCATTTAATAGTCCTTTAGATCAGATTGGCTCTGTTATTGGTTGTTGGGCTTTATCCTGTCTGTGAAATTTATGTGTATTTTGCAGAAAACTGACACATTGCCGACAAGATAATTTTGTCAGGGATTCCAAAATATAAGCGGCTTTAAGATGCGGGCAGTTTAATTATTCTTTACGTTTTTCAGTTGGGTTGTGATGAAAAGTGTTTGGGCAGTTAAGCCTGTTCTTATTTTCTAACATCAACTGTTAAGAATTTTTTCAGATCTTTGGTTGATCACAACCAATTACAAACTTAAGAATATGTAAAAAGAAGAGATATGATTAGGTTTGTATGTCTACAAACACAGGCATACATTGAGACTGACATTTCATTGTCAACTGCATGTTGTGTTGACAGCAAACTCATTTTTATGACAGACCACTAGAACTGCAGCCAAAGGTAATGCCAGCAAACTACTTCAGTGACATGGGGGTACCAATCCACATTTCAGCACTTTCCACACATGTAGTGCCTGCTCATAAATCAACATGCATCTCATAACCCCTGCCTTGCACCTCTCAACAGCTGTTGATGTGACCCATGGCTCAAAACATCACCCTGATATTGGAAATCAAATGCTGGATGCACTAACATGTCAACTGCTTGTTAGGAATAAGTATAAAACCTCAGTAAAACCTCAGTTAGTACCAAAGGATCAGTTTAATGCCCAAATCAGGCCATGCAGCTGACAGGTAATCTCGGAATGAAATTCCCATATTATTCAGTCTGGTTTTTTAAAAGAAGTTTTCCAATGTTTCAGAACCTTGGAACATGCTTAAAATTCTTACCCAGAACCCAGACTGCCAAATTTGGAGGAATGCTCAAATTGCAGAGAAATGCCTTGTTGTCAGGTTTGTGACTTGTCCCCTGCATTGGTGTAAGTCCATATACCAGATGATGTATAACTAGCCAGGAGAGCTAGGCAGAAACAAGAGAGGCAGTTGTTTCAGTCATGTGTTCTGTCCCTTATCATTCTGTCCCTTATTCTCCCCTTTACTCAGTCCCTTTCCAGTCCCTTTATCTGTGCACCAGCAGCAAAGGGCAATTAAGAATATGACTTAGCCAAATATCTATTGTCCCTGGCTTCTAAAACCGTCCATGAGGCTGTAAGTAATATGGCAATGTAAATCAGTTGATATTAAATGTACATGGTTGTGCCAATCTCATTATGTATTTCTACATCTGAAACTGTCTTGTGCATTGACAGGGCAGGAGCTGTGTTATTTGTTGTCAGGGTAGGACCAGCATGTGTTTAGTTCCTGTTCTAGTTCTAGTTCTAGGCTAGTTCCTGCACAAGGAACAGGGATTCCAGGGAAAGGGACAGGGGTAGAGGTGCCAGAGGATGTGATGTTGCAGATGGTGTTGGTGGTGTTGCCTCCTGTTTGCTTGCACAGCCAGATTCAGCTATCATATGCAGTCCCTCCCTATGCATTTAGTACTTACATAAGTGACTCCACCATAAAGTGATACATCTTTGCCCAATGGGAGCAAATAACTCTTTGGTTCCTTCAATTTTTTGCCTGCTCTTTTCAGATCACCACATATGCCCCAGTCCCAGCTGGGGTCTGCTGGTAAAGGGTGTTAACCTGATGTGGTTGTGAACTGATTCTTGCTGCCTTTATAGACACTGAACTGAGGTAATTGCTTACCCATACCTGATTGCATACCTGGTTTTGTGTGCTGTGAGAGCTCTGGATACTGGGCTGGTAAAATTGAAGCTATTGGAGGACAGTTTTGGCCATGCCTAACAATCTGCCTGAAAGTGTGGGTGCAGGTGGTGGAAAGTCCGTAACACAGATACTCACCATTGTGTGACTTCATTCTCCTCTCATTTTGCCTTGGGAGCCTTTATGACTATGCTGTTTTTGATTGTCTGTGGATGGAGCAAGTCCAGCCTTCTTGTCTTCTACATATAGGACTTCTTGGTCTATTGACATAGCAGGGCCTCAGCCAATCATGGCTGAACATTGAGGTTCATATGGGGAATTCTTGGTAGGTACAGTGAGGAAATTGTTTTCCAATTTTGCTAGTGTAACATCTTGAGCTTTATTTTCCTCTGGGGATGGATTACATTGTGTTCTCTCACTCCAGCAAGCAGTCAACCTCGATTAGTATGAGCCGTGCATATTCTTGCCTCATGGTTATTTGGATCATATGGATCATATGGATAGGCTTGGACAGATATTCTACATAGTAATGGTGCTGGGGCATTCCAAATGAAATCACATAACATAATTATTGACATCTCACTCATGCCTGAACACTCAATGGGGAATGGAAACACAGCCCCTGTTTTGGCTACTAAAGCAGATAATTTCGGCTCGGTGCGTTTGGCAACATCATCGTACAGTCATTGCCCGCCTGTTGGTGCTGCCTGGGTGGTCATCTTTCTGTACTCAGACATGATTTGGCTACTTGATTAACCCCCTAGACATCCTTGTATGTACGAGGGTCTCTGTGAGAGGGAGAGGGGAGGGCGACTTAAACAACAATGATTCTTTCCAAATAAGTCAGTTGCTTTCCCAAAGAAGAGGCAGGAAAAAATCCCCAATTTCATGCAGATTATCAACTCACCACCCTTTGGTGTTCCACTCAGTTCCAGTTGGAATGGCGGTCAGCTTGATATCACGCTACTGCATGGCTGTGCCCCCACCTGTAAATTGTTTTTTGACACTGACTTTGGCTAACTTCCTCATATATCTGTTAGATCAAGACAACACTTAGGGTTGCATTTTGGCAAGCGAGGAAGATGTGCTGCTATGCTTTGCATGCCTTCGATCCTGCTGATGATTCAGCTCTTATCGGTAGCCTGATGCTCCCAGTGACGTGATGGTGATGGACAGATTACATCCCGGGCCGTGGGAACAGAGCGAATGTGCACGAGCAGAGCGCACCCTGTGCAGCTGGTTCGCAGAGCCGTCCAAACTGGTCATGGTGTTGCTCGGAAGGCCGGAGGACAGAGGTCCGTTTCGTCCGCCCAACCATTTTTACCTCTGGTAGTGATCTGTTCCTAAAATGGTTGGGTCCATACAGCGTCATCGTTTTACCGTGAGATGATGGTGCGTCGTTGATACCGACTGCTCCTGGGAATGGGCTTGGGGTGGTGGTGGTGGGGGGGGGGGGGGAGGGGGTGTATGGCATAAGCCGAGATTCGGTACGGGGTGAGGAATCCGTCGCCCAGGTCGGATAGTTTCGATGTAAGCCCTACGACGATGCGCGGAAAGGAGGAGGCAAAAACCTGCGTTTGCGCTCCCTCTTCTCCTTGGATTTTTCGCGTTGACGAATTCTGGACTTCACTTCCGATCCTGCTAGAGTTGACTGTCCGCCGATGCTCGTTGCAACGGGCTTTGGGTGCGCTAAGGCCGTGGGTTTCCCAAAGATGCTGTTTTATCTTTCTTATCTGCCTTTTTCTCGCCTCCATTTCCCTGTCTGCCTCAGTTCCACTAGGCAGCAGAGCTTTGTAAGTCCTTGTAGGCGGGTCAAGGGATTTTCCTTGAACAGAATATGCACTGATGCAGTTGGGATCTTTTTCAATCCTTCCATTGGGTGGGTGAGACATGGCTCCCAGGAAGATGGAAACGCCCACACGTCCACATTCTTCGCTTCGTCTTCAGCTCACTTCGTCCACACTCTTCCCACATGTCATCTAATTGATTCAAATGTCGTCTCCTTCCTTCCTGTTCCCTCCCCTTCTCTGTCACTGTTCTCGCTGCTCTCTCTCCCTCTTCATCCGCCTTTGAGCTGGGTCCAAAGACAAAACAAAAATAACTCATATGCACCCAAAGATGGCCTCGATTGGGCGTCGCTAAGTTTCCTTGAACCGCGGCGGCTGGCGGTATACTGTGTTAGCCCCATGAGAATAACGCGTGGATGATTCGAACTTCCGCAAATATGTTACCAAGCTGGAAAGTATTTCCCTCAAGAGAATAATATGTGAATAATTTGGGCGCTCGCAAATGTGTGGCGTAACTTAACAGTGTAAGTTTGCCCCGAGAGAAAAACACGTTAATAATTTGGGCGCCCGCAAATATGTGGCCTAACTTGACAGTGTAAGTAAGCCCCGAGAGAAAAACATGTTAACAATTTGGGCGCCCGCAAGTATGTGGCCTAACTTGAAGGTCTTTTAGCTTCAAGAAAATAATGTATGAATAATTCTGACATCCGCAAATACTTGGCCTAATGAAAGCTGACAGTACCTAAGGTCAAGCCGACCATGGGGTGATTATACCGCCGTCCCCGCTGCTAACCCACGCGATGACACGCGTGGAGCCGCATCCCCCTTGGTTTGTTCTTCTCCCTTCACGCGGCGGGCTCCATCTGTGACTCCTCGCTCGACACGTCTCCCGCCCGAGGCGTCCGCAACGGAAAACAGCGGGGTATGCATCGAGGCAGGAAGGCCTTGCAGGCGCTTCCTTCTACACGGCGCCGTTGGACGTGACGATGGATTCTGCGAGGCTGCGGGGCTTGTCTCGGCCGCCCCCGCGGCGCCCGCGGCGCGGCGCGCGCCCCCGCCGCGGGGCCGGGCGACGCCGGCCGCGCTCCAGTCAGCTGGCCGGGCTGCGGTGCGTGACGTCACGCAGCGCACGCCTCCAAATGGGCGACTTCCGGCGGCGCGAGGCTCCAGGTTTGGGTGGTTCGCCGCCGCCGGGCGGCCGTGTGGCACCGGCCCGGCTAACGGGGCGCCGACCGCCCCGGAACCGGGCCGCCGGGCTCCCGGCCTCCCAGCGGTCCGTCATGGGACGCGACCTGCCCAGCGGCCGGCCGCCGCCGCCGCGCCGCCGCTGCCTGCGCGGGCGGCGCCCGTTCAGGGAAAAGGATCGCGGGTGGTTGAGGAGATGGCGGTTTGGTTTGTTTATTCGGGGTGGCAACCATGTTTGGTGATTTCCGTTATCGGCGTTGAGGCGTTTCCGCGGAGGGGGACGCCCCTCTGCAGTGTTCTTTTGATGCGTCACTGGGGTTGGATGGGTATGTTGGCTTTCATTAAGTAGGTGAGGGGGTCTCTTCTCCAGCTTCTACGCCTATGTATGGCGTGCATTAATGATGCAAAGGTCCACTAATGCCTAGTAGGCGCCTAGACCCATCAGGGGACTGGTGCCGACAGCGGGCGACGGGGGGGGGGGGGGGGGGGGAGGGCTGGCGGCGCACAGCCAGACTGCACTGGCCCACTGGTGGCGGGGGGTAGATGACAGAGCAGATCTCACACCGGTGAGTCACTAACCGGGCTGAGGCTGCCCAAGGTCCCGGCTTGAGATCACCTACACAGGTCGCATTGACGGCGGCGAATGATTCGTAGCCTGATCTACTTATTGTTGGCGGCTTGGAACGCCGCGTTCGTCTGTCCGTTTTGAAGTGTATGGAGGCCTCGGAGAAGGCCGGCTCGAGAACCCCGTGACATTCGGCCGCCCGTCTCGTAAACACGGTCCGGCTGTAGGCGACCCCGCACTGCTCACATTAGCACGACTGCGTGCCTAGATACCGTATCATAGCGCAACGTTCCAGCTCAACATACATGGCTGTTGAGACACATTTCGGTAGGTCGGCAGACTGGTGAAAGTCACGATGTGTTCTGGTCATTGCGGAGAGGACAACCTCTAATCTCTTGTGACAAAGACCATGCCGCTACTTCGTCCGCTCCGCAATTGTGTCGGGCATTCACGCGATACAAACGCGGTGCATTACTTTTCGCGAGAGCCGCGGGTTTTCATGCGATAACAATGCCGCAAGAACCCATGTGATGGTAGAATCAGCTACATGAAAGGCTGAAATACAGTAAGGCGGCCGTTTTGCAGACGGCTGAGTGTAAAAAAGGTGTTGACGTAGCATGTGACGACCTGGCTTATGGGATGGCAGGGCAGCATTCGACCCCTGCGAACCCAAGTGTTAGAATGAGGTAAAACAGCTGTATTTATGCCTGTTCTTGCTTTGGTAGGGTTTTTTGTGGACGGTTTTGCAGGGTGTGGTCCACCTTGGATGTGACCGTATTGTCTGCTCTTTCAGGGAAAGCTGTATATGTTCGACAAAGTCATCAAACCCAACGCCACACAAGAAAAGGTCTACAACGATGCGGCCCGCACCATTGTCAGAGGTATGTGACGCAAAGTGTGCAGCGTGTCAGTGTGTGACGTCACGCCATCCTGTCTGACGTCACGCCTTGCCGAGCCCCGACTGCCAGGAGCAGCTCACAGCAGTCTCTCCGCTCCGCTCCGTGGCGTTTGTGGTGCGCCAGCCGGTGCCGTCACCGACTGATGACTTGATACGAAGCCGACGACTGGTTGGATTATTGACAGATAGACTAAGACCACGGCACTGCCGGCAGTTTCGAAAGTAACGGCTTGGTGTGCAAGAGCGAGGCGGCTCAGCTTCCCGCAACAACAGCTATTTTGATGTGATGAATAGCGATTTATTATGGCTTACATGGGCTACGCTCAGGTTTCACAGCGTTGCCAACATTGCTGCACATCGCTTCAGAAGGATGTCTTCCGTAGGCGTCTCGAATGCCAGTCAGTAAGCCTCTCGCGAATATTACAGTCGGACCCAGACGCGAAGAACCGGACTGCCGCCTCGCATATGGTTGATGTTTGGTCTTTCACCGCCTTGTTGCCTTGCCGCGGGCGGGGCCGATTACGGTTCACTGCAGAAACGTGCAGTTTTTTGACGAAGGAAAAAAACGCCCTTTGCGCCGAACGGAGTGAACTGCGCCTGCCGAGCTGGGCGTGGTCACGGGACCCATTCCTCCGTAACGCGCCGCGCCAAGCGCGCATCGCCATGTTAGCCCCCGTTCCGGTCGTTGCATCGCTGATCGTCGCCTTTGTCGTCGCCGGCGCGACAAACCCCCAATCGAAACGGTCGCATCCATCAGAGGGACGCGATCGCCACGTCGCACATGCTGCTGAACGTTGCAGCTGAGGACCGCTCGGTCCGCGCTGACGCACTTGGCCGCCGGCCGCGGCGTCGGCGGCAGCTATGGCCGGCACGCCCTGGCTAGCCTCCCGACTGTCCCGCTGCGCCCCGCGCTGGAGCAGGGACCGTCACGACCGACGGAGGGGGCAAAGCGCCCCCCTTCCCCCCCCCCCCCCCCCGCCCCGCCCCCCCCCCCCCCCCCCCCCGGCGGCCGGCCGCGTGCCAGCTGAACACGTGACCTGTGACGTGGGGCGGCGGGCCACGCGTGCAACAACAGCTGCGGCGGCGGCCGGCGGACGTGTGCCGTCACGGCGTGTGATCGGGCCGTGACGCCGTGCCGCGGCCGCCGCGGCGGTTAGCTTAGGGGGCGGGTCACGCGGAGCGGCGCCGCCGCGCGCGGTCCGGCCGCTGGACGGTGGGGCAGATGGACGGACGGCACGCTGTCGCCCGCGGCACCGGCAGCTCTGCCGAGCGTACGACCGGGATCTTCGCGACAAGGCGGCCCAGTGGGGCGTTTGCGCAGCCGTGCCTCGGTGAACGAACGCGCTCCCTTTGGACAGACGCTAATCTGCCGCTGGCAATCGCAGCCAACTTGCGAGATTTGCGCCCCCGCAGCCGCCTGGGGCCGCCCGAGTGACGCTGCGCTCCCATCGGACGACGGGGCCGTGACGTCACTGGTAGTGTCGCAATCGCCAGCAGCGGGCAGCGGCCAAATGAGAATGACACACATCCGACGAGAAGTTAGCTATTCCTGACTGCATGCACCTGGATTTGTTGGAGGCTCCCGGCGAGTTCCGCGCCGTAGACGGCAGCTGAACAAGCTCTGGGCAAATGTACGAAGCTAACTTCTGCGCAACTAACGCCTTTCCGAATATCCTCGTGCGGAATGTTGATGACTACTAAGTTTCCAAGCGCCCGCACCTCGTCAAACGTTTCTCGCTGGCAGTGATCTAATCAACAGGGTCGGGTTCCGCGTCGCAGTCGGCCTCGTCCTCTCATCAGAATGTCGCATGTATGCAGTGTTTTCGACAGGCGTGTTCCGCTTTAAGATTCTGCTGCCGGAGGCGGCGAATTGCCGCTGGCGTAAAAGCTGCGCATCGACGCGGCTCGCCGTTGACGCCGCGCTGGCGGCGGCGGCGAGCCGGGGCCGGTGGGCGAGCGGCGCCGGCGGTGGGCGGTGTCGCGCCGCCCCGAGAGCCGGCCGGGGGTCGTGTGGGGCCGGCGGCCGGCTCGCCTGAACTGGCTGCAGCCCGGTCGATGTATCGATCTCGCCGCCGCTCCGCCGCAGCGGCTTGTCTGGCCGGCCTAGCGCCCGGCCCGTCTGGGTTAGAGGGCGGCGGTCCGGGCGTAGAGCACCACAGACGCCAGAAGGCGGTCCGCCTGAGGTGGAGATCGCCTTTGCTTAGTAGCATATAGGTTTGTACAGTAACACACCTTGGTTGCAGGGTATTGGAACACGGTTAGAGAGTGGTGAGTATCTGTGGAGAGTGAAGCGGGCCTGGATCAGGGGGTGGCGGACCTGGATCAGTTGGTAGCGAACCTGGGTCAGAGGCTGGCCGACCTGGGTCAGTGGTTGGCGGACCTGGATCAGGTGGTAGCGGACCTGTGTCAGCGGGTGGCGGACCTGGATCAGTTGGTAGCGAACCTGGGTCAGAGGCTGGCCGATCTGGGTCAGTGGTTGGCGGACCTGGATCGGGTGGTAACGGACCTGGGTCGGGGTGGCAGACCTGGATGAGCTGGTAGCGGACCTAGGTCAGGGGGCGACAGACTTGGACCAGGGGTGGTGGACCTGAGCTATAAGGCGCATGACTTGGTGGAGTGCTGATCGCACTCTGTTGTAACGGATCGTCACGCCTGTCTTCCGACTCCGGCTTACGCACTGCCGACTGTAATCCGGAGCCCCCGCTGCCGCGCGGCCGGCCGCTGGCGCCGCTGGCCGTCTCCAGTGTGACGGGGGTCAGTGTTGGAGCCGGCCGGCCGCTGGCGCCGCTAGCCGTCCCCGGCGTGACGGGGGCCAGTGTGGGAGCCTGCCGGCCGCTGGCGCCGCTGGCCGTCCCCAGTGTGACGGGGGTCAGTGTTGGAGCCGGCTGGCCGCTGGCGCCGCTGGCCGTCTCCAGTGTGACGGGGGTCAGCGGGGGAGCCGATCGGTGCCGGCGAGGCGGCAACAAGTCGGCTGGCGCCGCGGCCCCGCTGCTCACTATTGATCGGTTGCGGGCTGCCGGGCCGTGGCCCGCCCTCAGCATACTGTCTGACAGCCAGAGACAGACTGGCCGGCGCCGGTGCCGGCTGCCGCTCGGTGGCGCGGCAACAGCACCCTGTCGCCTTCAGCAGGGACTCCGGCATGGCAGTCTCCCGGACTCGCCCCAAGCGGGCCGGTGCCAGCGGAGCCGCCAGTGGCGGTGGCCTCTGGCCTTCAGTAACTCGCCCCGAGCGGGCCGGTGTCAGCGGAGCCGCCAGTGGCGGTGGCCTCTGGCCTTCAGTAGTCTTCAACGGGGTTGTCTCAGCAGCCACTGCAGCGGGGTTACCCTTGTCAGATTTTCGATGGGTGGGGCTCAGCGCAACGTGGAAGTATGAAAAGCTTCGCCAAGAGTCCATCCCCCATCGTGCTGTTCCTGAAGATCGCCGCCGTCTCCAACGGTGCCATTCCAGGGGCTCCCATATCCGCACCTTTGCCACCCTTTATGACAGTTCGCCGCCTTGGGCGCAAGCATCTGAAAATCTCCGCTGTCCTAAGCTGGCACGTTGACCATATGACGGGCACAGCGTGACCGCCTCGTGCTGTCCTGGCGCCAGTGCCGGCCGGCCCGTTCGGCGGGAGGCCGACCCCGGCGCCGATGCTATAATTACCGCCGGCCGACCCCTGTCCAGTGCCGCCGGGGGGTGCGTGCGCCTGGCCGCGACCGCGCCTGGCTGCCGCCGCCGAGCCGGCAGCGTGTCCAGATCACGGCCGGGCGAGCTCCAGCTCCAGCTCCAGCGCCAGCGCCAGCGCTAGTTCCAGCGCCAGCTCCAGCTCCAGTGCCAGCTCCAGCTCCAGCTCCAGCTCCAGCGCCGGTCCGGCACGGCAGGCCGAGAGCGCGGCTGGCAGCGGGGGGCCAGCTGGACGCGTCACGACCTGTCGGCCCGGGAGGCGGCCAGGCGTCGCCGAAGGGAGCCGCCCCGCTGCTGGTCAGCCACCGTTCCGGCGCCGGCGGCTCCCAGTCAGTGCCGTGTCGCCGTCTGGAGGGCCCGGGGAGCAGCCATGGCCAGGTCGACATCCGGACGAGGTCGGCTCCCAGTCAGTGCCGTGCCGCCGTCTGGAGGGCCTGGGGGCGCAGCCAGGACCACGTCGACATCCGGGGGGAGGTCCGCTTCCAGTTGGCGCGACGTCACTGACACACTGGCATGCGGACGGTATGTCCCAGCCTCGGCCAGCAATGTTACGCCTTGAGTTACGTAACTGCGTGCAACATTCCGTCGAGATACGCGCTGGCCTCGCGGGGTCGAGCCCGGCGTGCCGCCCTCTCTGGATGCACCTGTGCGGTTTTGAGCTGCCGCTGCTGCCGTCGCCCGGCCGCACCCTGCCGTCGCCGTCGGCGATCGATAAAACCGACCTTCCGACCGACGCGTCGACAGCGGCGGCGCCCGACGACCGGCGCCGGTCCGGACCGGACCGCTCTGGCGGACCGGTGCGGTCCGGCGGACCGGTCTCCGGCGTGGTCGGCGGAACGGCAGTGGTGTCGCAGACACTGGACCTTTTCACAAAGCGCCTACTTCACGCGTCTGCTGATGATTGGACCAAAAGGGGCCCAGCGGGGGTCATAAAGTCATCTCGACGTGGGATGTATTTCATTGTGACGCGACCCTCAGGGAAAACTCACAGCCTTCTCGGACCAGCGCCGCGCAGCGGTTCTGGCTCCGTTGCATGAGTGGCCGAGTTCGCCACGCGGGGGCGAGGAACTTTCCGAAAGGTTCGGAGGGAGGCATGAGCAAGCTGGAGCTAGTCTTACCACGCGACGTTGTTGTGTGTGTTTGATGTGACGCATTCCCGAAGTTAGGAGACCGCTGAGCCACACCGCGTTGTCTTCCCCGTTCCCATGCCCCTGTAGCCAGGGTCATGAAGAGGGTGTGCCTCGCACGCCGCAGGACCGGTTCGGACGGGATGCCACGGAAAGATCCGCTTCTCCGCTTATCTGTTGAACAGACCGA